AAACTAAGTGGACAACTGACTTCAGAGAGGTGGGACTGAACATGAGCCAGAGTGTGCCCAGGGGGCCAAAAGGCCAAGGGATCCTGGCCTGGCTCAGGATCAGTGGCAGCAGGAGCAGGGAAGGGATTCTTACCCTGCACTCAGCACTGGGGAGGCCACCCCTGGAGTGCTGTGTCCAGCTCTGGGCCCCTCAGCTCAGGAGGGACATGGAGGGGCTGGAGCAGGGGCAGCAAAGAGCAACCAGGCTGGGGAAGGGACTGGAGCACAAGTGCTGTGAGGAGAGGCTGAGGGAGCTGGGGTTGTTGAGATTCTATGATTCTGTGATTCTGTGACTACTTTGCTGGTAATTGTAACTTCCTCCTCACAGGAACTGTTGTCAGTGGAGTGTTACATAGATTATTCCAGAAAGCCATGCCTGGGATGTGTGAGGTTTCTCAAGACAAACTTGCTTTTGTTTTCATGTTCTCCCTAAAGTCAAGACAACATCATAACAAAGGATTTAGGCTGTACATCACACATGCTTCTCAAATAGTAAAGTTAACAAATATCAAACAAATAGTCAACCTGTCGTTTTTCATGTTGCTTGTAACATTTTCTGGTTTTCCCATTTACCCCCAAATCTGGATGATCTCAGAGTAACATCCTCACCAGTCATCACTCATTCATTTTCTTCTGATGTTATCGCACTTCTGATGGGCTGGTAATTGAGCACATGTAATGCAAGCATGTGTGAGTAAATGGCAGAGAATAAGGAAATTAAAAATCAACCCCACTGCTGGTTTGCAGCTTCCTTAGAAATCTGGGAAATGTATTTCTTAAACTGAGATGTCAAAATGTAGGAAGATGTGATGGGCCTGGCTACTTTCACCATCTAACACAAAGTTAAGCATGATGGCAGTGCACTGTCCTCACCTAAATGCAGAACAAAACCCAGTGGCAAGTGTCACTGTTCTGGCATGTACACGGCAAGTGATGCAGCTGTTTGCCTGGCTAGAGCTGTCCTACATACAGCTTCAAGGGGAACCAACCTGATATCAAAAGTCAGCATAAAAATTGACTGTTTTTTCCTCTGTCTTTGGAGTAGAGATTCCTTTGTGCCCTTTGGTGAGGCACTCAGAGATGCATGTAAAGAGAGATATCCCTCAGTGTGCACACAAGCCACGATCCATCCTCTGTGCCCAGAGGCACAGTGCAGGACTCAGGTTCCTTCCTGCCCATTATTGACCCTATATGAGCACAGAGATATTGTGCAGATACTTTCCCATCTCTAAGCTCATTGAAATTGGGGTGACTAGGGGAGTTTATTCTAAACCAGGGACAGAAATAACCAGCATCGTGGCCATAAACACTGCGGTCAAAGCAATAACTGTTCAGCCACTTTGCCAAGGCTGGAGAGCTCCTAACAGGGCATATGGGGGAATGCTATTTCATAGTGCCTTACAAACATTCAGGAACCAAAGGAACAAGCATTGCACTGTGTCTGCACCCTGGAAAGTGACCCTGAAGGCAGAGGAGTAGACTAAAGCTCAGAGTGCAGCGAGAGAGAAGGGCAGACATTGGTAGGGAGCAATGCTCAGAAAGCCAGTGGCATGTAGGAAAAGCTCATGGGGCTGAGCACAGTAGGGAGGCCATAGATACTCCCTACTACCAAAAACCCAGGCACCTGAACCCATGACACCTAGTGTGTCAGGAGAACATTCTAGTGCCTCCTACCTGGCACATTTATGGGGAGTTCCTTCCTCCTGTTCATGCTCTGAAATGGTGGAGATTGGGGGCTCTGTTTCCCCAGTGACATCCAGTGATGGTTGTTATAAGCAACTGTGTCATTTCCCACCACTCTCTGCTTGAAGGCAATAAAAATTATCTTAGTTCCTCTGCCCATGTGGAGAACCACAGCACCATAATGCTGAGTCTTGAGCTAGTTCCAGATATGAACTGTAATGTCTGCAAAACTTGCACTGTCTTGGGATTTTGTTCATTTTGAATTGGCTAAGTTTACACCATATTGCAGGAAACAAAATTTCTTCTGTTTTTTACCATCTTACACAGGATAGACCTGTCTAGGTCTTCTTTCCTGCTGCTTTGTTGGTTACAGGAAATCACACTACAGAAAGACTGTTTGACCTGTCCTTGTGACTTTCTGTGATGAACATTTCACAATGCCCCCAAGCAATACTTTAGGTTTCACTGCTCTTACTATCTGCAAGGTTTTCCTTATGGCTTAGTGTTCCTTGCTGTAGTTAAATCCCTATCCCTTTCATGGTACTAGTCACAGCTATGAGGAACAGACTATTCTTTACTGTTCTGCAGGCTTTCATGCATAGAAAGACTGTTGAACCTCTCCTTCAGCCGTGTCCTTTCATACAGTTTATTCCCATACATTTTCTTTTCTGACAATTCCTGCTGCTTTCCTCTGATCTCTTCCTACATGGTCCATGTGTTCTTGGGAACAGTGCCCAAAGCTGAATGCAGGGCTGTCATTTGGCCTTGTTCAAGGTGAGCAGAAGAAGATCTATTCAAGGCCTTATTCCTAGTTACACCCTGCCAGGGTCTTTGCCATTTTGCTCAGGTGCAATGTCACTGGCTCTGCTGATGGTGCAGGTTGGTCCCACGCTATGCAGAGCTTCTCCTGAGCTGTTTATTCTCCATCCCCTGAGGTAGCTCCACTGGTTAGAGCACAGTACTAAAAACACTGAGGTTGTGCATTTGATCCCCACTTAAGAGTTGGACTTGATAATGCCTGTCCCTTCCAGCTCAGAATATTCTGTGATTCTGTGATCACACAACAGGGCAGCTGCTCCTTTCTACCTGAACTAAATACCCTGCTCTTGTTCTTAAACTCAAATTTAACCTTAATTCTGTTTTCTAGTGTTCTAGAACCCCAGAAATGTCATTCACCCAAACCATTACTGAAAGTACCAACTACTGGTCCTCCTTGTTCCCATCACAGTAGAAATTGCCAGTAGAATTGTAGAATTGCATGGTAGAATGTTTCATCCTCCTTGCTTGTAGGTAAAATCCCTATGTGTTCCCTCACACACTACCTACATCTCAAGGTCATTCAGGCAGAAGTTCTTCTCGTTTTCTTCCTGAATTGCCTGCAGGACAAAGGGTAAAATGACACAGGGTGCTTCTTTCAAGAAGTGTAAACCCTGTTTCTGCGAAAGTGCATTTTAAATTTATTTACCAGGTGAGGAAGTGCTGCAGGAAAGGTCAGTGTGCTGCCTTCCGAAGCTGTCTCACATCCTCTCTGTTGGCAATCAGGGGTACACGCTGATTCAGTGTCTATAGTTAGGCAGATCAATTGGGATCTGTCATCATAGCTTGTATTTTTAAGGCTTGATTGTTGCAAGTGCAAGTATTACCACATCAACCAATGCCTTTCAAATCCTCTACAGGCAATCCTGTAAGATCCTTTCTGGAAAAAATATAATTCTTCTTGACTTCTGGACTGGAGAAGAGGTCAGGTAAGGAATAATGGCCAAAATGTAAAAGTGAAACTTGATTTATATGGATGGCCCTGAAAAACCTTAGTGGACCACTGTGCTGATGGATAAAGTCTCATAGGAAGGGCTGAGCATGCTGAAACAAAATTAAATAAAGCATCAGTGGGAGAGCCACAGAGCACAGTGGAGTGCTGAACCAAGCAAGGACAATTTGGATGAGACTCGCAAGAAGTTTTTCTTCTTTGCGTGTCTTTCCAGCAGCTATCATTGTAGATTCCAGCTGATTTAAAAAATACCAAGGTTTGAGCACTGAGGACTCCTTGAATGCACTAGGGCTTTTCCAGAGCACTAAATATGAGCCTTATTTCCATTGCTCCACTGGATGAATGCAAATATTTTGTTGACTTAGGAATAAAGGTATTAAAACATCATTAAACACTTGAGTCTAAACATCATTAAACCTGAGTCTAAAAACAGTCTAGAGATGCTCTCTAGGAATTTGTAACAACCAGTCCCCATTCTTTCCAGTACTTCAGTATTTTGGAGACCCTGACTGATTTCCTGTCCCTGCTCCAGCTCTCCTGCCATCCACCACTGCTTCCAAGCTCCAGGCAAGGCTGATGGGCTCAAATTGGGCTTTTACAAGGTGGGATCACTCCAGGCTTCCTTTTTCGGAACTGAAAAGAAATGGGCACCATAAGAACAGCTTCTAAGACATGAGGAGAAAGTAATTTCCACAGAGGGAGCCTGAGATGATCAGCCACTCTTCAGAGTTTCTATATCAGTTAGCCCATCCAGACCAATCGTGTCGCTGCCTGTCCCAGATCCCACCTTACAGGCACCTGGACGCAGCTGGCATTACAATCTCACACCACCTTGTATTTTTTGGCACTTAAAATTCCACTGTTTTCATGGCACCAAATAATAATGGAAGATGAAAGAAAGAATTAATTGGAGATTTTGCACTGTGTGTGTTTGCATTGTGTGTGTTTGTTTATGGCTGAGGGAGTGAAGTGCTCCAGGCAGTGCTGCCTTCAAAGAACTTATGGTTACCTACTGTAGAGTCTGGTTTTGCAATGTAGTATTTACCAACATTACTGCTCCTAAATCCCAGCCTGTCTCTTTGATAGGTAATATTTAGTTATAACAGCATTTGTAACTTGGTAGTTAGCAATGAGTCAATTGCTAATCCATGGTAGCTGTGTATAAATAAAAGTAAGAGAGGAAAAATACCAATACTTCCTTGAAAGCTGAGCAGAAATAGAAGGTGGGAAGAAGGCAGCAAAAGTGTTAAACATTGCCAATATTTGCTTGCCAATTACTGTAGTTGCTTATTTAAAATGAGAAATGTTTTCTCTCCAGTTTCTCACACAGAGTGCTGTTCTCCATGTCAAAGAAACAAAATGCCTGATTTACCTGGAAACAGTCAAAATAATCGTGTCATTAGAGGTTCAGCCGTGCTGCAGGAGCCGTGCTGGAGCGAACACTGCGGTGTCAGGTGCACTTCTTCAGAAATATGAACTCTTCCCTCGTGTAGCAGCTCCCCTCACAGGCAGGAAAGAGAGATGCTCAGCTCTAAAGGGCCTGGCTGCTGCTGGGGCTGACCAGAAATTCAGGTGCAAACAGAATTTACAGACTGTACCTCTCATTTCTTCAGTGCACTATGGCATTGCCTGGTTGTTCTGCCCGGAGCTGCATCCTGATGTGATTGTGATCTGTGGATGGGCAGATTCCTGGAGCTAATTCTAAACGTATTTCATGATATTTGAACCGGGCTTTTGTCTCCAAGCTGGACACCACAGCTACTCTATTCTCCATGCTTGAGTCAATTGTCCCAAGTCTGCAAGAAATTATTTAAAACTTGCTCCCTTTTTTGAGTTCTGCTCTGAAATGTGCCTTTATAGGGGTGCCTCCTGGCTGGAGTGCCACCTCCTGTCCCAGGGGGTGCCTCCTAGCCACCTGCTGTTAGCTCACACTGGGAGCAGCTTCATTGCTGGTCGTGCTTTCAGCATGACAGAATAGACCTGGTCTGTTTACGTAGGATTGCAAATTCTATGTGCAAAAAGTGATAATCAGTTACAAAATGGATTTTCAGTAGTTTGCTAAACTTTAGCTCTGTTCTCAGCCATCCCTTTGCAGTTCCCCAGCTTCAAGGAAAGAGAATGAATCTCCTAATTCCTCTAACTTTGGTATGAACTTGAGGGAAATGTGCAACATATTAAGGGACATTTTATCTTGTTCTCCTTTTTTTTATTGTTCTATTTAGTGAAAGAGTAAATTTCTGTATTTTCATTTCAAATACCTACTTTGTACACACTATTTACCCCCCTCCAGCCCAGTTCAGGGTGCACCAAAGCCTTCTCTTTGCAGCCCAGCATCCTCAGAAAGTGCATCAGCAGTCTGTGGGAGTCGCCCCACTCTCCAGTAATGGCTGTACTCCAGAAAGGACAGAAATGTGCCAGGACTTTGTTTACCCTTGGGATTGAGCATCCCTGGCAATCTGAGTGGTCTCTGCAGCTCCTGCCTGGATCCCACACGATGGCACTCATTGCTAAGGAGCTCGTGGTGCCCCCCAGCTTCCTCCTGCCTGCCAGTGTTCTGCCTTGGCACACCCACAACTCAGTTTTTCCTCCTAGGGACCCTACCCTGCCACCTTGCCCTTCCTCTGTGAGTTTAACTGCAGAGCTGGGATGCAAAACACCTTTTCTTAAGAAGTACCTGGTTTTAAGTGAGGACCCTGAACAGTGAAGCAGTCCCAATGCTATCACCAACAACTAAAGTGTGTCTTCTTTTCACATTGCACATGATCTTTCTTCACCTTCCAGCCCCTGAGCTGAGCTTTCTGCTAAGTTAAGTAGCACTGCACTGTCTGAAATTGTCTCTCCATTTAAATGCTCTTTCCTTCTTTCTGATTAATGAAAAAGAATCTCTCCAGGTTACCAAGACATTATTACACATCTCCTTACCTCCTGGACCTTCCAGGAACTACTGAGTGTGTGGACACCGGGATCAAAAGGTCCTTCCCATGCAACTTCCTATACTGTTGGTATATACTGAGGTATATAAATGAGAGCCACAATCAGCCCAGATCAAATTTGGGATGCAGGAGGGAGGCAGCTGCAGAGGGCAGTCCTGGTTTCTGTGGCCTTGCAGTCAGGACGTTCTGTTCTGTCCCTGCTGGTTACAGAGGAGGCTCTGGTGACTGTGCTGCTTGCTGTGGTTGTATCATCATGTTTCTTCACCCCAGGGTCACTCTGTGCCTTGGTTTCTCATCATTCTCACTGCACAGCTCTATAGTTGCCCAATCCTCCCTCAGCTGCCACACCTGCCTGTTGCTCAGTGCAGGAGTGTGGACAATCCACGGGAACAGTAGTGGGGATAAACTACTGGGGACACCAGCATGGATAAACTGAGGACAGGCGTGCTCTCCTTTGCTCTGTGTGGCTCCTGACTGCTCTTTAGGAAGCCTCACCTGCAAGCATCTAAGACAACATTTTTTTGCTCCAGCTAGGCATTGTCGTCACACATGCTGTGCTGTGAAAACCTCACTCTGGTTGGCTCTGACATCATCTTCAATTTATTTCAGAAACTTTGAAGTGAAAAAAATGCCCACAGTCCATGGCCAAGAGCACCAGGTGAAGTCCAAGAAAAGATGAACCAAGGACAGTGCTGATGCAGCCAAAGCATCTGAGAGGATTCCCGTCCTGTGAAATGTGGGTGACAAACCTGCCATGCCCTGCCCGGGGGGAAAGGGCCAGAGGGCTGGCAGGGGCTGATCCACACTGTGCACACAATGCCTGCAGGCACTGAGCGCTGGCCAGGCTGGCTTGGAGACAATAGTGCTGTCTTATCTACAAGTGATAACATCACCAGTATTAAGGAAACTTCCCTGTCCGACCTTCCAGGAGCCCCCCTGGCACTCACTCTCACCACCTGAGCTGGGACTCAAGGCCCTTCACAGCTGCTCCCCCATCCTCACACAGTCAGACCTGGTTTTCTCACCGGCTCCCCCCCAGGTTTCCCATTGTTGAATCTCAGAGGTCTCGATCCTAAAAGTCATTTGATCCTGGTGCAATAGCAAAATAACAGAGCTGGTGCCTCTGAGGAGGGACCAGAGCAAAGAAACCCCTGGGCTTTTACCCTCTCACAGTCCAAGCACAGGAAAGTCTGGGGGTTGTTGGCTCTGAGTGTCACCTCCTCTGGCTGGGACAGGTCCAGGGCCCTTTGCTGTCCAGAGGGTTTGCAGTTCACAGCCTTTGGCCTTGGGCTCCTGTCCCACGGAGCACAACCTGCAGCACCACTGCAGCTGCACCCCGAGCTACTGGCACTGGATGTATTCCCCAACAACCAGGTTCTCCCAGTGCTCCCAGTGCTCCAGAGCCCTGGAGCTCTGCCCAGGCAGCTCCTCCCGTCCCTGCTCTCAGGGAACTTGCCGGGCAGCCTTTTCCTCCCCCTGGGCTCTGGTGGTTCAGGGGGTGTGTGTGCATTTGTGTTCCGCTGTCTTTAATAGGCAGTTATGTGCAGGGCCTTATACTCAATTTAATGACTGCTCAACATCTAATGTTAATTTTTCAGTGTCTGTAGTTTATGCAAATGTTTTTCTTTTTTTTTTTTTTTTTTTTTAGCAGGAAAATTATTTCCCTCTGTTCAGCATTTTTTAGTTGAGTAAAAGATAATTTAATTGAAATGCTAAATTATTGGGAGTATGTTCATTTTATCTAGATGGTAGCTTTTTCTGAGTACAGGATAAATACCTGACTTGGAACATTATTGTAAACAATTTGTTCTGAGACATCACTTAATTAATTCACTAACTCAAGATATGTTAACACATTATTTGGTTTCAGTAAGACTTTCTCCCAGTGTGGGAGTGTCCAGTTTACCAGTATGTTAAAGATTAATAATTCATTTGAACTCTAGACTAGTTCATTTCACTGAAAATGCCATGTTTCACATCAACTTGTTTTTTTCCCATGGTGATTGAGAGGTGTTGGAAGCAGTAGGACTACTAATAGGCTTGTTCATGTACAGGTGGGTGGGTGAGATGCACTTCCCTTTAGTTCATGTTGCTGGAATTATTCTAACACAGAACAAAGGCTGATAACATTATATGGAAAAGGCTCGATAACACTTTTCTCAGTAACTGAAATCAAGATTGGCTTTAGTTTTTAAGAAATACAGTCATTGTCTTTAATATTGCTAATCAGTCTGTCTGGTGGTTTTGGTTTAACTTTTCTCCTGTGTGGGATGTGCAGTCAGCCCAGTGTTCAAGTAAGAGATTTCTTAGGCTCTGTAAGATAGCTCTGAAGTGAACCATTACCGTGTCAGAGAGTTAAAGGGATGCTAAAGCTGTGGAACAAAATAAACCCAGAGAAGATAAAGGAAATTTCTCACAGAGAAACTAGATTAACTTCAGCATCCCTGTTCACTAAAGAGAAACTGGGGTATATTTATAAGTGGATTCTTTTATTTCTGGCCAAAGGGAACAACAACATAACTTCACTATGAGACAGTGCTCAGCTAGAGAGTTCAGTGCAACTCCAGATCCAAAGTGCAGTGGGATCAGTGGGAGCCTCAGCCTCTACTTCAACTCCCTTTGCACCTGCCAACTGCAGGACAACCGCTGTGGTGTCACTTCCCAAAGGGATCTGGACAATGCTGAGCCGTAACCCAACATCTGTACACATCTGTACACATAGCCAGTTGGCAGCAATTACAATGAACAATAGTATTACTGTGCACATAGTAAATATGGTGTTCTGGAGAACAGTCAAAGTTCAGGTTGTAGTGAAGGTAAGTTATGTCTCACCAATCTGTTGAAGTAATTAAGAAAAGCAGATGAGTATATGGAGTGAGTGAAGTTCAACCAGTATAATTACTTAGACTCTCAAGAGACTTTGAGTGATCTGGAAAGTACATGAATAGTGGGGTGATGACATGTGATGATGAAACGAAGGTCTTCAGAGTAATAAAGACAAGGACTGGCTGTGCAGAGTTGCAAAGAACCTTAGTTAAAAAGTGGGAGAAGAAATATAGTGCTCATAGATGTGAAAAGTGAGCTGACAGGGGAAAAAAAGCTGATATTACCAGTCAGGGTATTTGGAATTATATTAATTGGGACTGCTCTCTGGAAATGTCAGATCAGTGCCATGCAATGATTCAAAAAGCAAAGTAAATTTCAGGAATCATGAGGAAAGAAACTGAGAACACACCATTATGCTGCAGTATAAATCTGTGGTGTATCCACATCTTCAGCAACTGTTTGTGGTTCTGGTCTCTGTCTCCAAAAGAACATATCAGTGTTGGCAAAGTGTCAGGAAAAGGCAACGAGGTTGAGCTGAATGTATAGGCCATTGTCAGAGACAGGATTTGATGGACTTCAGCCACCATAAGCATTTTTATGTTCAAAAATTCTTGTACTTGCACCTTTGCTCAGTGTCACAAAAATGGTTGTTAGGAAGGGATCTTCCCCTTCCTGGAGAAAAAAAAAACAAGAAAGTAATAGTCTATGAAATAAGAGACTCATGTCCGACTGGAAAAGTACACCTCAAAAGAAAAAAGCATCTGTAAAAATCAATTTAACTCACAGAAGGTGGTTGTTTATAAAAAAATCAAGCACACCAAACTGAAAAGTGTTGTTTATGTTAGGATTTGGGAGCTTAAGAGAGGCTGTTTGACATCAAAGTGCTAATGATTCATGTGGAATATATGCTGCTCTTGCTCCACAGATTTCCAACCAACCGACTGTCCGTTCTCTGCTGGATGCACGAATCTGTACCAGTGATGACTGAGAGACGCATTTCTCCTGGAGGACTGGGAGAAGGCTGGCCTGATGATTACCTGCTTGGAGAAGTTGAGTGTCTCTCTTTGTAGCACTCATAGCACACTGCAAAGCCATTCATGGCCCACATTCAGGATGCCTTTCAAGAAGGGCTGGGCTGGCACAATGTAAGTAATTCTGGTACTCCTGGGTGGAAGTGAGTGAAAGGCCTGAAGGAAATCTGTCCTAGGATGTTTTCTTCAGGTTTGTAAAGACTTCAGGTTACACTAAGTGAATCCAAGGAAAAGTATGGAAAGCCTGTAGATTGCATGCTGTGCTATAATGTGTGCCAACACACTGAGTTCTGGTACCTAACATCTGACTTCAGCATTCAAAGACTAAATGTTGAGAGAAAACTGAATGGTCTGGAGAAATAAATAAAAACAAAGAGCTGTACTCTTCAAAAAGAAGTCTTGATTTGCAAATCTGTCAGAAATTATATCTACAGAAAGAATCCACACTGTATTGTTTTGTATCTTGAGTACTCTACTAATAAAGTGTCCCTTGTAAATACCAAAAACATGACAGTCAACTATTAGAAAGGGAAAATACTCTTGAGGGCAGCTTTATCCCAAGCAAAGGGACATTAACTACGTGCCCAGATGTTTGTGTTCTGTCTCTCACCCTTCAGTATTGATTTGCAGCTTTGCAGAAGGTTAGTTCAGAAAAAAAGACAAAGTCATCTTCAAGATGAAAATGAAACCCACCTGAGTTCTCGTCACTTAATAGTACTGCTGGCATTGTTGTCCACCAGATTGATATCTGGATGATAATGTTAACATTTTGCTTTAACAATGATGTCATTGATGTGATGTGATGGAAGATCTTGTTTCAGAGAATCCCTTGTGCTGTGTCAGCTGAAGTTTTCAACATGTTAATATTTCTTCAGTGTTGGACTGAAGTATGAAAAGTTCTGTTCCATCAAAAAAAGTGAGCATCTTTCTTCATTGTCCTAGAAAGATTACACTGGAAGGTGAAATCAGAGCAGAGGATGACTCAGTACAACCATTCAGCAGAGTTCTCTCTCCAGAGCTCAGCAAATAAGTCATTAAATTTCACTGAAACACCACTGGCTTGGGATGAAAGGACACTCTTAGGGCTGAAGATTTCCCTGTCAATCCTTCTGTCTGTTATAACTTTGGCAACAATCCTTGCAAATGTTTTTGTTATTATTACAATTTTTCTAACTAGAAAGCTCCACACACCTGCAAATTACCTCATTGGCTCCTTGGCAGTGACTGATCTTTTAGTGTCTGTCCTGGTCATGCCCATCAGTATTGCTTACACTGTCACCCACACGTGGGCCTTTGGCCAGGTGCTGTGTGATATCTGGTTGTCATCAGACATCACCTGCTGCACAGCCTCCATCCTCCACCTCTGTGTTATTGCCCTGGACAGGTACTGGGCTATCACAGACGCTCTGGAATACACCAAACGCCGCACTGCTGGCCGAGCAGCCCTCATGATTGCAGTGGTCTGGATGATTTCTGTCAGCATTTCTGTGCCCCCATTTTTCTGGAGGCAAGTGAAAGCTCACGAAGAAATTGCAAAGTGTGCTGTGAACACAGATCAAATTACCTACACAATCTATTCCACTTGTGGAGCTTTCTACATCCCTACTGTGCTCCTCCTGATATTGTATGGTAGAATTTATGCAGCAGCTCGATCCAGAATTCTGAAGCCACCCTTGTTATGTGGGAAACGTTTTACCACTGCACACCTGATCACCGGCTCTGCGGGCTCTTCTCTCTGCTCCATTAATGCCAGCCTCCAGGAAGGGCATTCCCACTCAGGGGGATCCCCCATATTTATCAATCATGTTAAAATAAAACTTGCAGACAGTGTCCTGGAAAGGAAAAGAATTTCTGCTGCAAGAGAAAGGAAAGCCACCAAAACTTTAGGCATTATTTTGGGAGCTTTCATTTTCTGCTGGCTGCCTTTTTTTGTCATGTCCCTAGTCCTACCCATTTGCCAAGATGCCTGTTGGTTTCATCCCATCCTACTGGACTTTTTTACCTGGTTGGGTTACCTGAATTCATTGATCAATCCAGTCATTTATACAGCTTTTAATGAAGAATTTAAACAGGCTTTCCAAAAACTAATACTTTTCAAAAAGTGTTCATCTTGAGGCTCTCCCCTCGTGTTACTGACCCTTGTGTAATCTCATAGCCTACCTGAAACTTTCCATGCTTTTATTCCTAAGGAACAGAGTGGTAATTGCCAGCTCTGCTGCTCCCCCGTTCTGTGCATGTAACTGGGAACTTCTCGCCAATTCAAGACTCTCTGTCTGGAATTCTGCATCCCATAACAACTTGTCCGTGGTCTCTGCAGTGATCATGTGTGTATATAAGATCAACAACACATCAAATAAGCTTTGTAACAAGGGAAGTGCAAACAAGGGAGCTGGGCTTGTGTGAGGAGGTGACACATTATCCAATTCTACCATGCTTTGTAACCTGGTGGGAGGAAATTGTGCATGTGTTTGCAGGATGTCAGTATTTCTGCTGTATATTATTAATCATGTATGTAGGCTGAGAAAGTTTCTGGAGAGCAGGATCTGATATCTACATTTTCTGTGGCCTGTATCATATCCCCATGAAGCTGATAAGAGCTGTAACTTTTTCAGAAGTTGTGTGACACAGCCTGGCTATAACCAGCAGCAGGGCAGAGAGGCATGTAAGTTATATGAATATTTCACAACTGCTGCATTTGAAGCTATGTTTTTGGTGCACTGCAGAAAGAAGACAATTTATTTGAGGCAATTTTTACACATTTTATCATTAGTAGAATAGCCAGTGCAGAAATACTACAAAATAAATAGCATGAAAATTATTGAGAAGTACCTCGATCTTATATTTTTATTTCATTTTTTTGCATGCACAAACTGAAACAAGAGAATATGGTTAGTGCCAGTGTGGAATGAAAACCTCAGAAAACATCCAGGAGCTTTGCTCCTCGGTGACAAGAAATGGGAATTTAGAGAGGAGAAAATGAAGTGACACACTAAGGAAAATTTTCTTAGTAATTAAGGTTGTTGGAGTGGATGGACCATCACTGTCTCTGGAAGACTTTAAGTAGTGGTCAAACAAACATCTGTCAGGAATCATCCTGTCAGAACCCTCTGCTGGGGCTGCAGAGGGTGGAACTTGATTTGCCAGATGGGAAGCACACATTGCTTTGAAAGTTATCCCATACTCCTTCTGACTGCCCTTCAGTCTCTCAACCTGCCCCCGTTCATCTCCACCATCCACTGCTGTGGCCATTCCAATACACTCCACCACAGCCCAGGTCCCCCACAGCTTTCAGCCCCTCCTTTGATTTGAGGCACAGCCTCACAGCTTCTCCCTGTTGCTGGTGCCTCTGCTGAGGACTGGACCACAAAGTGATGGCCTGGGACCACCTGGATGCTGCAGAGACAAGCAGAGCAGTTGCGTGGTCACAGAACTGTAGTCTTCTCCCTCACAGTATTCACCAAGGGCACTTAAGGCTGCCCTGTCTGGGACACAGCTCCTCTCCCCTCCCAGAAGGTGTGCTGATCTAGCTCTGTCCAGCTCGAGATTTTGGTGGTCCTGCTGCCTGGCCCTGCCCACACAGTTTGCTTTTAAGGTGTATCCAGAGTGCCCAGTGGCTGTGGTGGTTCTTGCCTGTGCTCGCTCCTTGGCTGTGCTGTTGCTCTGCCAGGGGACACATGAGCTGACACAGGCACAGCCACGCAGGGGAAGGCCTGAACCATTAACTGGTGTTGCCAGCTGAGCTCTCACACCTGGCACTATTCAGTCTGGTGTTACAGCAGTGTCCAACTGGGAGCTTCAGTCTCCCTCCTCCTTCTGGGTTGCCATCCCTGTGTCCAGGCCACTCAGAGCTGCTACCGTTCAGGGACAAGCCAAGATGGCACTACCAGTCCAGTCTTGCTCTGGAGGTATCTGAAATATGGAGGCATCACAAAAGGTTGGTGTAACCATTCTGCTAGAAAAATGGGATATAGTTTCATACTGGGCCTGCAACAGGGGACCAGTGTGACATGAATTCAGAGATACAATTTCAGAATCCTACAGGGCCTTGTAGAAAGAACCATTTGTGGAGACTGGAGAAAGCTCTCCTAGCTTAACATAGAACATTGCATATTCCAGAACACTGGCATCTTCTGGGTTCCTCGGGGACTTGAATAAGAGAACTAAATGTGGTTTCTGTGCCTCCCCTCCAGCAGCACCAGCACAGTGCTGGTGCCTCCTGCTTTGTACCAGTCTCTGCTGAGATCCAGTCTGGCCTTCCCACCATAGGGCTTCATGTTGCCTGAGGCAGGGCTTGTCTTCAGCCAGGTCACTTCTGAACTACTGATTCTGTTCCTACCTCATGTTTCAGGATGATGTGCTAGCAGTGAGCCCTTGGGACATGGTGCTCCTGAAAAAACTTGGCATCAAGACTCTCACTCCATTGTCTAAATAATGCTGAATTTTGGTCTGCACATCATTTAGGGACCTTCTCCACAGTGTCCTTTGGGTGGCCTCATGCCTGGTTCTAACCTTGAAATCAGAGCCTTGGAGCATCTGATGGCACATCTCATTAGAAATAGGGGGCAATGAGAGCAAGTGTGTGTGTCTTCCTTCTCAGATCTAAGGATGTACAATACATAGAATGGGAGTAATACAGGTTGGAAGGGACCTCTGGAGGTAGCTAGTCCACAATTCTGCTCAAACCATGGGCATCAGCTTTGCAAGGATAAGGATGCACAACCTGGGTAACCTGAGCCAGTGAAAAAGATTGTCATAGGTTTGGTGAAAAGATTGTCATAGGTTTGAAAAGAGATGTTGGAATTTTTTCCCAGTGTAGCCTCTCCCCTCTCCCCCAGCCTGTTTGGTGCGGGAGGGGGGAGTCAGGAGGAGGAGTCAGGAGCGGAGCGGCACCCGCTGGGCAGGGCCACGCCTCGGGAGCCCTTTTGCCCGGAGGATTGGGGTGTTTTCCCACCGACGGACAGAGCGGGAGCTGCTTTTCTTTTGGGGGCTTTTTTTTTTTTTTTTTTTTTTCCTTCTCCTCCTGCTGGGAAGTTTTTTTTCTTTTCCCTGCGGAGCAAGATGCCCTTGGGGCGTGGGGGCTGCATTATCACAGCTGCCTGAGTTCAGACTGCGCCCGTGGGACGAAGGACTCTTTCTACGAAGCCATCGGCCGCTCCCGTGGCTGCGAGCAGATATTGAGCTGCCAGGGACAATTTTGCCATCAGCCCTCCCTCCCACCCCAGTTTGCCGCGGGTTTTTTCCCCCCTGGGGAATTAGGACTTTGTTTTGTTCCTTTTGAAAGTTTTGATTGCACCATTGTTGTTTATTCAGATTTGTTACTAAAGAGCTGTTCTTTTCCTTTTCTGCACTTTCTCTTGCAGACCCTAAATTTCGAAGTTGTAATCTTGTTAGACAAAGATTTTTCTTATACCAAGTTTGAACCTCTCTTTTATCACTTATGTCTGTTGTCTCTCCGTCTCCCACCAATCACTTCCTCCAAGGTCCTGGAGAAACTGCTGTCAGGTTTGCTCACATCATTCTCTTCTCTAGGCTGAGCAAGCCTCGTTAATTCAGCTTCTCCCTCTGTGTTCCTGGGGCAAGTTCTCTAGTCTCCTGACCATTCTGGTAGCCATCCATCAACCTCACACTGCTTTAGCTATGCCTTTCTCGTACTAAGAGGCCCAAAACCGGACACAGTTTTCCAGATGTGGTCTAGCAAGGGCTGAGTAGAGCAGGATAATCACTTCCCTTGATTTATTAACTATGCTTGTGCTAATACAGCCTTCTCTGCACCAGGTCACACTGCTGGCTCCTGTTCAGCTTGCTGTCTACCGAGACACCCAGTTCCTTTCCAGCAGAGCTGCTATCCAACCAGTCTGTCCTTAGCCTGGATCATCTCAAAGGGTTCTTCCTTCCCTGGGGTAGGACTTTGCATTTGTCCTTGTTGAATTCTGAACGTTCCTGTTAGCCCAGACTGTCTAGGTCACTCTGAATAGTGGTTCTGCCCCTGAATGTATGCACTGAATCCCCCAGCTCAGTGTCAGCTGCAGACTTGAGTGCACTCCATCACTTCCTCCAGGCCATGGATAAAGACACAGGATAGGTCCTAGGACAGTCCCCTCTAGTACTCTGCCTGTTATCACCCATATAGACCCCAGCATCCCAAACTGGATTCAAGGATATTGTGTGAGTATTGAAAGCCTTGACAAACTCAAGGCTCATGTACAAACCCAGTAAATGTCTCGTACAAGGCAATCAAACTGGGCAGACATGGTTTACCCTCTGCAAATCCATGCTGACTGCTCACTTTGTTCACTGGGCTCTTGGCTCAGATCCAGACTCCCAAGGCATTACAGATGAGGGCCAGAACTTTGCCATTCTTTTTTCAGACCACGTTGCAAGAGAAAATGGCTGGACAGGATGGCACAGATACAGGAGCCCCAAAGAGGTCAGTCTGAGTGACTGTGCAGCACCTTTTCACTTAGACCACAGCCCACAGGGAAAGTGTCTCAGAGAACAAGAGAAAGAGGAGAGCACATAGTTTATGTCTGCTATGTGAGGAGTTCTGATAAATAATGTTTTGCTGATGTAACTTTAGGGCTGGCTCCAGGGGGTCGCTGAACTGAGATTTCTTCATGCTTGCAAAGTCCCAAAGCAGATGGTTCAAATGGATTAAAGACCAGTGGGCAAATGGAGGCAGAGTACGTAGAAACCCAGTTCTTAGGAAAGCCTTTAAAGAGAAAGGCCCCTTCTTCCTCTCACTGCTTTGGATTGAAGGATATTACCTCTGCTTCCATGACAGTGTTTGTGCCTGTTGTTTGGGAAGGACCTGGCATCCTCTGTTTCTTCCCACCACTCAGATGGGCATAGAATCAGAGAATCATAGAATGTTGAGGAGTTGGAATGGACTTTAAAGATATCTAGTCCCAACCCCCCTGCCATGGGCAGGGGCACCTCCCACTAGACCAGGTTGCTCAAGGCCTTATCCAACCTGAACATTGCCAGTTTTGGGACGTCCACAACCTCCTTGGGCAACCTGTTCCAGTATCTCACCACCCTCACAGTAAAGAACTTCTTCCTAATATCCAGCCTAAATTTCCCCTCATTCAATTTGTACCAATTACTCCTTGTCCTGTTGCTGCAGTTCCTGAGGCACAATCCCTCTCCCTGTATGACCCCTTCAGATACTGCAAGGTTGCTGTGAGGTCTCCGTTCAACCTTCTCTTCTCCAGGCTGAACAGCTCCAACTTTCTCAGCCTGTTTTTGTAGGGGAGGTGCTCCACCAAATTCGTGGCCTCCTCTGGACTTGCTTCAACAGTTCTGTGTCCTTCTTATGTTGGGGACAGCAGAACTGTGCCCTGTGCTCCAGGTGGGGTCTCATAAGAGTAGAGTAGAGGGGGAGAATCCCCTCCTTTGACCTGCTGGCCACGTTCCTTTGGATGTAGCCCAGCACACAGCTGGTTTCGTGGGCTGTGAGTGCACACTGCCGGCCCACATTGAGTTTCTCATCAGCGTTATCCACAAGTCTTTCTCCGCAGGGCTGCTCTCAATCACTTCCCCACCCAGCCTGTAGGTGTGTCTGGGATTGCCCTGACCCAGGTGTAGGACCTTGCACTTTGCTTTGTTGTGATGAGGTTTGCATCAGCCCACCTCTCCAGCCTGTCCAGGTCCCTCTGGATGGCATCCCTTCCCTCCAGCATGTTGACTGCACCACACAGCTCAGTGTCATCAGCAAATTTGCAGAGGGTGCACTCGATCCCACTGTCTGTGTCTCCAACAAAGATTTTGAACAGTATTGACCTCAGTACTGACCCCCGAGGGATCCACTTGTCACTGGTCTCCACGTGGA